AAACAAAAAGAAGCAACTTAGTACTAGCTTCAAATTAATCTTAAAATGCATTAGATTAAATCTATTATATACTTTGACACTTCAAAATAATAAAAACTACTCCTTAAACAATACACTAGCCTCTGTTTATCCCCCCTCTATCTCGTTCATAAGGAAAAAAAATTCTAATAAATAGTCACAATCTAAAAAATCCGGGGGCATTGGGGGGACCAACAGATGTTTCATATTTTAAAGCTTTTTAAATAATCCTTACACTTAGGCTGTCATAAGCACAACACAAGGAGTATAACAATAAAGGTGGGAAGAAGGATTTGGCTCACCTAAGGTCGGCCAAGGCCACGGGGGGGGGGGGGGGGGCAAAAAAAAACTCCTGGAAATGAGCTATGCATTTTTTCATTCAACGACAAGGGCTTGCGAGCATGAAATTAGGTCAACTAAGGTAGTAAGGGGGGAAAAAAACAAGATGTCGAAAGCATACATCAACCTTATAAGCGATAACATGTGTCGCTGCTAACTTCAAGAGATTGTGGTCCATTCAAACATTTTCCCTTAATGAGAGGAGACTAGAGACCCAGTAATCCACTATAAATCTTATCATTGATATTGAGAGTCGGAGTTGGTGTCAACAACATGCATCGACCTTATTGGCAATGGTGTGCATTGACGTTGTTGACCACAGCAATTAATAAACTCATCGGGAGTTGATGGTGGTATCAAAACATACATCAACCTTATAAGTGATAACATGCGTCGATGTTATTGGCAATAGTGTGCATCATTATTTATGTTGATGACCTGCATTAGCCTTATAAGCAATGGCGTGCATTGATGTTATTGGTGATGGCGGGGGTAGATGTGTGTCAACGACGTGCGTCAAACTTTTAAATGATGACATGCATCGATATTAATAGAGACACCATGCGTCGGAGTTTGTGTTGACAGCGTTCACCGACTTTATAAATAATGGCATGCATCAATGTTGGTGGCGAGGGGCCAATGCCAAAGTCAATAGGTGTCAATGTTTGTGCCGACATGTGCATCGACCTTATAAGAGATGGAATGCGCAACTCTAGCAATGCCGATAGACAACTAAGTTGGCATGGTATCGATGTTTGTGTTGATAACGTGCATCAGCCTTAAAGGCTATGACATACATTAATCGTGAAGACAGTGGGCAGCGAAGTTAATGGGCATCGACATTTATGTTGACGAGATGCATTGGTCATATAAGTTATGGCGTGCATAGATATTGTTGATGATGGCGAACAAGGACCTCAATGACGTTGGTGACTATGTTGGCACAGTGCATTTGCCTTATAGGCAATGACATGCGCCGCCGACGTTGTTGGAGGTGATGGATGATGAAGCTAGTGAGCATCAACTTTTATGGCGATGACATGCATCGACCTTATAAGCAATAACATGCATCGATGTTGATAACAATAACGAAAGGAAAATTCAATAGGCATTGGCATTTGTGTCAACAACATACATCAATCTTATAAGCAATATTGTGCATCAGAAATAATGTTTGTGTTTATGACATGCATTAGTTCTCTAGGCAATGCCGTTTGTTGATCTTGTTGGAAACAGCAGGAAACAAAATCAGTGGGCATCGATATTTGTGTCGATGGCCTGTATCAGCCTTATAGGTTATGAAGTGTGTCGCCATTATTTACAATAGCAAATGACAAAGTAGTTTGCATCGATTTTTGTTTTAATGGAATACATCAACCTTATATGCAATGGGGTGCGTCAAAGTTGTTAGCAACAAACAAAGTCGGAGGGCACGTGTGTTGGTGTAGATGGCGTACATAGATCTTATAGGCAATGATGTGCATGAATATTGTTATCAATGAAGTATACGAAAGGTAATAATCAGGTGACAATGATTAGTAAATCATAGTTGAGCAATTGTAGATCATAGTCAGATAACTTTGATTAGGAGATCTTAATCGAGCGACAATAGTCGAAGGACGCTGATCGGGAGATCATAGTCAGGCAACAGTGACCGGGAGATCATAGTCAGGTGATACTAGATAAGTGACCATGTTTCGGAGATTGTAGTAAGGTGACTGTAGTTGGGCAACAATACTCAGGATACCTTCGTCAAGCAATAATGATCAGGAGATCGTAGTCGCATGACAGTGGTTAAAAGACAATGGTTGGGCGAAGGCAAATTGTTGACAACAGTCGTCAGTGTCAATTATTAGGCAAAGCTTTCTCCATTTCCAAATCCGACTTTTGCTCAAAACTCCCATCCCACTTTTATATGGAGAATAAGAGTATATTTATAGCTTGTTGAGTACATTTT